GTTTCCAATACCAAGAGGTATGCTACCAAATATATAGTTTCCATCTAGAGTTAACCTAGTGATTGTGGTGGAGAGATTTGCAATGGAATCGGGCAATAAACTTTTGAAACCATTTATTTTATACCCATGTCCAACCATAGTAGGTTGGAACAATTAGATAAAGAAGTGAGAAAGTCCATCAACTCATTGCCCTTCCTATCTCCTGTTCCTAGTCTATTAGTGTGACTATTTAGCTTTTGTAGCTCATAAAGGGTTCCAAAATTCATTGGTAGAGGACCAGTAAAAGAATTTTGGCTAGTCTCAATTTCTACAAGTTTCGAAGCATTGGCTATCAAGGAGTGAATAGGCCCATAGAATTGATTGCTTCCAATATGAAAAGCTTTTAGTTTTGGAAGGGTCAAGCCCAAATTGGAGGGAAAGCTTCCGTGCAATTGGTTGTCATTTACAGAAAAGTAAGTGATGGATGAGATATTGTAAAGAGATGCAGGAACCATACTAGAAAAATTGTTAAAGCCCAGAATAAGAATTTGCAACTTTGAGAGTTGAGCAAGTTCGAATGGAATGCTTCCCTCTAGATTATTGTGCAATAGAGAAAGCCCGACAAGATTGGAAAGGTTTCCAAGCGAAAGTGGGATAGGTCCGGTGAAATGATTTTTAGCAACACTAAATTTAATGAGGTTGGACAAAGAACCCAACTCGGTAGGAATTTTACCTCCTAGACTGTTATCAACTAGGCTGATTACTCTCAAGTCTGAACAATGTGTCATGGCAGGAAATTCACCTTCAAAAGAGTTAATGAAAAGTTGAAGATATTGCAAACGAAACAACTTGCCAATTTCTAGTGGAATTTTACCATGAAAACTATTGTTACTAAGATCAATCATCCTAGAAAGGTGAGGTTCCCAATGTAAGGAGATAAAGGACCTACAAATCCCAGAGATGGCAGGTTTAAAACGGTTACATGCTGATGTCGACGACCGCATGAGATTTCGTGCCAATTGCAGAAGTGGATAGAATGATTCCATGAGCTGAGGATACCTAGGGATCTCCTGATATCATGTATTTGATTAAAAACAAAGCCTGGCAGTCTGTTTTTGTTGGACAATCTTCACTGCATTTAAATAAATAAATTCTATTTGTGTACTAAACTACAAACAGAATACAAAAGAAAAATAGGAAAGGAGAGAAAATGTTTGAATACAAAAATCAAATTGATTAAATTATTGAACAATATTCTGATCAAGTCTAGTGTTTGACACTGTGTCCTTAAGACAGATTCGTCCTCTAAACGGTGCTTTCAGAATATGGACGTCTATTGCATGTTCTATGCAAATGAGGTGCATTTTCTATGCAAGTATGGAAGAGTGCATTTTCTATGCAAAAGATACGAGCATTTTCTATGCAAGAAATAGGAGCATATTCTATGCAATATTGAAAGCAAATTCTATGCAGAATTGAAAGCAAGCATATTCTATGTATGAATCATAACGATGCGCGGCACGCACGTCACAGAAGTGTATATGAAAGTGCACATTCTATGTAGTAAAGGAGCATCAAATATGTACTCTGGTGCCTCTGATTTACCTCTTAGAGGACTTTGCAACACACTCAGCTCAAAAGGGGCACACCCTGTTCATATTGGCGAGAGATAACATCTGCTACTGCTGCTTTAATTGCCGTTCTGACTTGAAGCATGCTTAAGCTTGGAGTAGAGGCACACTCATTCTTCGGGGCACTGGCAAGGCCTGAAGAGGTACATATGGAATGCAATCTCAGAATTTTCTGAAGGTGAAACACACTCAGATGCTCAAAATTTTCCCTATTTTCTTTTGCTTCGTAGTCCGGAACTTATATAGCTTCAGATAGGTCCTTGTTTTACCGTTCACACTTATCGAGGGTGCACCCTGCAGTTTTATGAAAGAACAAATCTTGTTTTGCACAAATGTGGAGAATGGCACAGCACTCTGAGCACAAAAAGATTTATGGAAATTGAGAAATGAGTTCTTAACCGGGTATTGAGCCTACAACTGCATACAGTGAAAAAGACTCAACAACGAATAACAAAAGGTAAACAACCTAAACACATCGAGTAACACTCGAAGCGACTCACAACAAGAATCGAGACAGACAAAATAAAACACAAGACTCAAATGTGCACATGGAGCCTGTTTCCCCGGGTATTGTTTCCCACCGTTTCTCATTTATGATCCTCACGTCACTCGGCCCTCAAGCTCTATTTTTCTGAAAAAGCCCTCTTCTCACTTTTTCTCTCATCGCACATCTCTCTATTCTTTAATCTCTTGTTTTTTTTTTCAATCCCTCCCCTAGGCGGTTGGTGGATAAACAGGAGGTCGTGGGCCCTTGCCCCTGGTATTCTACCAGCTTTTGATTCTTGTTCACAACAGAGAATTTCTTCCAAAGAAGGGCTGCGCTACAATTGGGTGTGTAGCAAATCTACAGCTGACATCGGTTGACGATGCTCTGCTGGGGAGTTTGGACGTGATCAGACTTGTCTAGATAAAGGAGTGGAATATCCTAATCCATTCCAATTTGTGCTTCGCACTTGGTTTGATACCTCGTTGCTTGGAGGATGCGAGAGTTTTCTGCCCTTTTGCGGTTAACTTCAGTGGTGCCTTTTCGGCAAGTAGAGTTCCCTTTCTGGCAAGTAAGTTGACAACAGGAGGAAGACAAAACATCTGACTCAACTGTGCCCCTATTTCCTCATTTTGACCAACATGAAAGTTAGATTAACATGCTTGTTCAATTTTTGATTTGAAAATCATGCAAGTCAGGCTATGAGCACTGAAAATTTTCCCTTTTTTTTTCTTTTCTTTTTTTTTTCTTTTTTGGTCCAAGAAATGGTCCAGTTTTTGGAAAAGATGAAACAATTTTCGAGAAAATTAGTCAACCTTAGTAAAAATTCTCAAAGACTATTTTCGCAAACGGCCGACGCTTAACAAGCGCGGAACTTACTCTTGAGACGCACAACCTTGGCTCCATAGCAACGGAAAATTGCCCCTTGTCTGAAGGACGCTGCATGGCAACGAAAAGTTGCCCCTTGTTTGAAAGGCACCGCGGCGCATTGAATGGCAACGGAAAGTTGCCCCTTGTTTGGATGGCACCACAGCGCATGGCAACGAAAAGTTGCCCCTTGTTTGAATGACACCGCGGTGCATGGCAACGGGAAGTTGCCCCTTGTCTGAATGGCACCATAGTGTATTGTAGTTAGTCCTCAGAGTGACGAATACAGCCAAATCCTCAAATACAGAGAAGACAAAGATGACCAGAACCATCGCATGGACATAATCGAATTTGAAGTGTTTTACGGCTGGACTTCAGAATGAGGTTGCCTACGTATCCCAAAGATGGGAATCAAGCCTCACGTAGTTCGGGGTTAAGGTACACTCGAGTATTAACCTCTCCTTTTTAGGCTCTAACTTTTGCCAAGGCGCCTGTTACGGGTTTTCGACCTTGCGAGCTTTGTTCTTCTTTTCTTTTCAATTCTTTTCTTTTTTGATTTTTCTTTTTTGTTCTTTTCTTTGCATTTTTCTTCATTTTGTTCTTTTGTTCTTTTCTCTTTTTTTGCTCTTTTTCTTCTTTTCTTGCTCTAACTTTTGCCTGGGCCACCCTTCCGGGTTTTCGGCCCAACGAGCCTCTCAAAGGGTAAAAGTGTAGCTTTGTCCATGTCAAATGGTTTTGAGATCCCGAAGTCATCTGAATCCAGGAGAATGGCCGCTGTTCTAGCTTCGTAAGCTTCTTCTGATGAGACCTGATCTTCTTGACCCGACTTCCTTGCCTCTTGTTCGAGGGCTGCTTTGAATCTGGCCACACAGGCCTCACATTGTAGTTGACCGTTGAACGTTCTGAATGGGCCCAAGGTTTGAAAGCAAGGGCTCGAGTCTCGAGGCTGAGAGCGATCCTAAGCTGCACAATCTCAAGAGTGATTCCACACAAGTCTTTGCAGGACCGCGCAAAACATTTTGTTTTTGAAAATTTTTAAGAAAGCGACAAATCGCTCGCGCTGAAGATAGTGTAGAACCAATCTGGATCAAGCCAGGATCCTTCCCAGTACTCATGCTAACAAGCATGATCTCAATCATTAAGGGCTTAGCATGCCTCTCTATCTCTCAATTGATCAAAATTTTGCAAAACCCGAGGAATCCCTTCCCCTTCGTTTTCACCGCGGTGTTCAAAAACTTTGAAAAACTTAGGTCAATGGAATGATTTTGGGGTGCAGAAGAGTAGGCGAAAAGTACTGCTGTTTCATTCAAACTTTCTAGCACAACTGGCACAAAGCAGAAGCAAGCACAAAGCATGAAAAACCACTGCTGTTTCATTCAAATCTGTTGGTACAACTGGCTCCCAGGCAGAAACAGACTCACAAGGAAGCGAAAAGACAGACGTAAAACAAAATAATGATATCCGAGGTAACACCCCCGGAATCATCCGACTTCTGTACAACAGGACTGACTCAATACAACAAGACAGACCCTACTGACTCAGTAAGAAAAGACTGACTCTGTACAAAACAACAAGACTGACCCAATACCGAAGTCAGAAAGTACAAAAACCAGCATTCACAAATGCTCTAAACAGTGCGTGCCATACACCATATCTGGAGTAAACTGAGCGCCTCCCGCAGGTGGCTCATCCCTCCAATCACATCACATTATCCCCTACAAGTTCACTGATCAAGTGCCGATAGACTTTGCAGGACCTGGTGCGGGGATGACCCCATTGTCAAATAGATACTGTACTTCATGGCGAAGACGGAAGCAGGCGTTGGTAGTATGGCCAGTTTGTTGATAGTACGCGCAGTACTGGGTAGTATCATGTATAGCCGGAAGAGGGTTCGGGAGAGGCCGAGGCTCAAGGGGTTTGAGATGGCCTTGTCCAACAAGGATTTGGAGAGCTTTAGACAAAGGCATATAGAGGGCATGGAAGACCCTCCAACCTCGGGGTTAGTACTTCAAGGCCTGTGGATTTTTACTGGGCGCACCAGCAAAGGGATTGGCAGGTCTTTATCCAATTTGCCGATCTCTTCCGAGTGGAGGATTAGAGATAGCAGGATCGTCTCTAGTATGACAGTCCTTCTCCCGATGTTCCCTTTGATTCAGACCGCCCCCAACTTGAACAGCGAAAGTGTCATCCACAGCTTTTGCAACAACTGCGAGGACTTGCTCTTTGTTCAGTCCCTCAGCTTTCAAAGCCTCAATATCCCACCGAAGGTGTTCATGGGGACCAATGCCTGCCCCTACCTTGCTCCTACTAGTCGCTTCCACTTTGTCAAGAGATTGGCTTTCCTCAAACGCAGCCCGTCCCAACATCG